AAACAGAAACAACGTACATTTTGATATCTAAGTTATGTTTTTTTTCTGCAAAACATTTTTAAAACAAAGACATTTTGTCATTATTTTTTCTGTGTTCATTCATCGTTGGTTGATGATCGTCATCAAATTCAATTGTTTTAAATCGTCATTTTTTTCCATTCAATTTTGATTGGCTAACATTTTAATGTTTCGAATATCGTCTCGAATTCTTATGATGATAGTTAAAATTTGTAGAATAAAAACAAATACTTTCTATTTTAGTCTATTTCAAAATGAAAAAATTTCACTTTCTATCTATCATTCTTCTACACATTATTATGTCATGAATTCTTCGTTGTCATTGTTCATTTATTTTTTGTTTGACTTCAATTTCATTTTCTTTTTTGTTGATTGTCTTAGAATGTCCATTTTTTTTAAAAAAAAGACCCAATGAATTGATTGTGGATCGATCAAAAGTTCACGTATACTTTGTGTTGGGAAGAATCGTTGCTATACAATTGTCCAATGTCGTTTTTTTCTTTGTTTTTTGTTCAAAAATAAATGTGGCCATCTTTTTTCAATTTGTTTCTATTCTTTATGATTATGATGATTATATTTTTTTCCATTCTCTCTGAACTAAAAAAAATGAACTCAAACTCAAAGACATACAGAAAAAAACAAAGTGTTCTTCCAGTAAAAATTGTCAAATTGATGGATCAAAATAGAGTGAGGAATAAAAGTAATAATAATAAGAAAAATTGAATGTCACTAAAATGTTTTTTTTAGTTTGACATTTTTTTTGTTCGTTCGTAGTTGTCACTATCTTGAAGAAGATAGTGTTCAATTTTTTTTTGCTTTGTTTTCGAAAACTTGAAACAACCATTGAATTACCATATAGACTGACCACATCGATTCTATTCATTCATGTATATTGTTTATTCACATTCAAATGAGCATCCCATTTACATAATTCATGTTTTTTTTATTCTCTCTCTCTCCCTATTCTTCAAAACCACAATCAATGTTGATCGAAATTTATTCTCTATCCATTTCCATTATTATGATGATTGAATGAAACACATAGGCAATCATAATAATAATAATAAAATTGATTAATATTTCAATTTTATCATGAAATTGAATCAAAGTATTCACATTATCGAAATGAATCATATCATAATAATAAAAAATTGAAAGCGAATCAAATTGATGAATAAAAAAACATTGACAACCCAAAACAAAACATTGGACAATTTCAAAAATACATTTCACTGTAGTTTTTTTTTTGTCATGAATTCATAACTTTACGAGAGAATATATGAATATAGTAGAACGATATTGATAGAATCGATCAATCAATCAAAATCATGGTATACTCGAGATACGACTAGCAAATTCATATTTTTTTGGCCACATCATTTTTTTCCTGACCAAATAATTCCATCAATATTACAGAATATTTGAAATGATGATGAAAAATTGTAATATTATTATGGAAATATTTGGAAAAAATTGACATCAATGAATGTCGACGATGATGATGATGATGATGTTGAAAAATTACCCCAAAATCTTATGGAAAATAATCATAATTAATCTACTCTTCATCCCTAAAGTGTGTGTGTGTCTTGAACCTTTTTTATTCATCCTATTCAGTCGTTCAATCATATTCGAAAATATCATCATAAAAAACGATGATGACGATGACAATCATGATCATCATGATCTTGAATGATAAATGATGGCACGATCTTTTTGATGATCAGTTAAAAAACTAAACCAGGCTAATATTTTTACTTCAATCCAAGGATTAAATGATTAAATTGGGGTAAAAAAAGCTTTAACCATCGATTAGATTTTTTGTTCCATATTGATCTGAATATTCTGACCACATCATATAGAAAAAAACTAAGTATTTTTTAGAATTTTACCACAGAATTCTCATCATAACCATATTCGATAATGATTTTAAGAAAAGAAGAAAAAAAATTCCAATTTTGTTTCATTAGTTTGGTAGGATTTTGAATCGATTCCTGCTGTGTGCACAAAAATTGAAGGCATTTTATTATTTTATTAGAAATAATAATATCCGTAGCAGGAAAAATCATCTCTTCATCATAGATTTTAGATGATGACGGTGACGATCATGATGATGATCATGATGAAAAAGACCGGATACCAAGTTATCCAATATGTGAAGCTTTTATCGTTATTAATTTTTAATTTGATTTTCCGTTATCAAATTTTTGCACTGTATATTTTTGTTTGAAAAATGTGTGTGTATAATTTTCGTACAAAAACTCATTTTTGATATAACCTATTTTTTTTTTATTTTAAAATTAAAAATTCAAACCCAGATCAGTTCCTGATAATATTGTTTCCGATATTATGATGAGATATATTATTGAGATATTTTGACTTGAAATCCAGATGGTTGGTCTATTTTTTTGGTTTTTTTTCATGTTTTGAACAACACAACTAATGTCGCCATTTGATCATCGTATAAAATGTCAATATTGTTTTTCATTCATTTGAACAAAAACAAAAATTCAGGTTTCACGACATACGATATTGATGTTGAAGTAGATTGATTTCAAGCTGTCATTTTTTTTCCAAAGATATATTGAATTTTATTCATTTCATATTTTGTCATTATGTGTGTGTGTGTGTTATGTAATTCATAATTTTTTTTTTGTTCTTGGATACGATCTGTATGTTTATTCTGTTAAAGTTATAAACATATTTCATAAAGAAAAAAATGAAAAAATAAGCAACTATTTTTCTATAGAAAGAATCACATTCGGTCTACAGAAACACACACACAGAATTTCAACCAGAGAATATAAAACATCCAGATGCGTGTATGTTTGTGATGAAATATTTCGAATAATAATCATTATATCTGGTTTTCATCATCTGATGATCAAAGCCAATATCAGTACAGAATCAAAAATTTTTCATCGATTTCAAAAAAAATTTAAAATTCAGTTTTTTCATTTTTTCCAATTTTTACTGCATAGTTTGATCAATGGAATGTAATGAAAAATGATTGTATGGTCGTTGACCATCCATAAGTTCATCATCATCATCATCATCATCATTCATTCTATAAATATATTCGATTTATATTTTTAGACACATAACCATAGCCAAAATTCCAACAATTTTAAATCGTTTGTTCATCAAAATATTCGTCAAAGCTTATCATCATTGTCACTGTTGTTGTTGTTTTTTTTTAATTTAGCTAGATTCATTTATTATTTCATATATTTTTTTTCTCGTTTCCATTTAAGTCAATCTTTCAATAAACATTCTCACTCTCGTGGTGGCATTTCGTGATTCGAATTTTTAAAAAATTTTTGTTCTTTTTTCATCAATGATTTTACAATGAAAATTATCAATGATTCAATACATATCAGAGGAATTTTTTTTATCATCCAGTTGGAAATTTTATTCAGGAATGATGTGTGTTTGACTTTTTCAATTTTGTTTTTTTTTGTTTGTTTGTTGTTGTTGTCTCTTTTCTTTTCAGAATGATAGTAGGTTTTGGAATTTTTTTTCTTCGTAATTTTTCAGTTTATTTGATTCGATTTTTGGACGATAAAATACTATTCGGGCGTCTATTTGGAGCGAATGATGGTGCTAACCAAACGAAACGCAAGCAAGCAAGTCAGTCAGATGTCAATTATGTTCTTCTTTTTTGAATTCGTTCAATATTGGAAACGACGATCAGATCCTGAATGAAAAATCCGATATCTAAACATATTTATGAAAAAAAATATCCGGATCCATATGGGGATTCCTGATATATAAATTTTTCTCCATTTTTTTCGATTGAGCTTTAATCTAATCTGTCATTGTTATTGTTGTTTTCATTTTTTTTCTTCTTTTCATTTTGATTTTCATTGAATTCGAGTAAGAATTTTCGTAAGCAAAAGAAAAATTGACTGATTTCATAGCAGTGTATTGTTTTTTTTTCTATCAAAATTCTAGATGCGGTTCGTTTTTTTTGGGACGAGCAAATAAAAAAAGTGTAGAATAATTTTCCCTAGTTTGTTTGCCTATTTTGTTTGTTTGTTATCCATGGCACGATTTATTTCGATTTTCGATAGAATTATTTATTACATTATCAAACTAAGTCAGATGATTAGAAGAAGAATATAATGTAGAAAATTGTTAGAAATATGAATGAATTTTTGTTTTGTTTTTGCTTGAATCCATATTTTCATCATGATGATGATGATGATTGTATGACACCATCATCATCATCCATATGAGAAATTTTCATTTTTATGATCAAAATAATCGACAGAAATAGAAAAGAAAAGAAACTGATCCAAAAAGAAGATGATGATGAAGGCATCAAACAAAACAAAACAAAAAAAGAATCAAATCGAAAAATATCGACATTTCTTTTTTTTTCTCTTCATCATCTTCTTCAGGGAATTATTTTCATTTTCTTGAAATCTTCTTCGGGTTTTTTTTATCAAATTTATTATTCTCATTTCATTTCAATATGATCTTTTCAGATCGATTGCGGATATATTTATTTGTTTGAAAAAAAATTCATTGAATTCGATTTGAATCTTTTTTTTCAAGTCAACTTATTTCGGCTGTCGTTATTATTATCATTATTATTGTTGTTGATCCAAAGATCGATGTTACGAATGATGAATGAATTCTTGGAATTGAAGAATTTCGTTTTTTGTTTTGTTCTTGTTTATTCGGATTTGGTGAATTCGGTAAATTCCATTATTCATTTATTCGATTTTTGAAATTTCGGATTTATTTTGGAAAATATGGAAATTTTTTTCATTGATTTTTCCGATTCAATTTATCAATTATTATGTGAATTTCGACTCATAAATTGTTATTTTTTTATTTGTTTTTAAAATTTTAATGATGTTAACGAATGTTAAAGCGATAATAATCATGTTTAATGTTTAATTGAAAACAACAATGGTCTGAATTTTTTGATAAATTCGATCAAATTTTCTCAATTTTTTTTTGTTTGAATTGTTCTTTATGGATTATCAACTATATTCAAAGTTTATGATAATTGTTATCATTCCTTTTATCGATAATGTTGAATCAATAAAAGTGCATGGTAATAAGGAAACCGAATGGTTAATCATACGTTTTCCATATAAATCCGTTTATGGTATACCAAATTCATTGAATTGCAGTGAATCAATTAGAAATCAATTTTATAGGTGTGAAATAGTTTCGCAACATGAATGGGAAATTAATATTGATCATTATGTAAGTTGCATGTGATGATTATAAAATTATAAACAAATTAACCCTTTTCTTTTGAAACAAAAACAAGTTTTATGAAACGAAAGATTTTTGCTGTTTCGTTTGGAGTACGTTGGATTGTGAATTTAATGCAGCAGTCGAATGTAATCAAGAATATTCGAAAAAATTGAAATCAAACACACTAGAAACATTTACACCAATATGCAATCGTGTTGGTTCAACTCCTGGAAGTCTTTCATGTTGGTTGACGACAGAAAGAAAAATTTATATTGGTATTGCATTCGCAGTAATTACTGTTGCTATTATTATCTGTTCATTAATTTTATATCGAATAAATCGTAATGTGTAAGTGTAATTTCTGAAAAATTTTGTTTTTTATTTGACATTTTTCTGACTTAATATATACACACATCATTTTAGATCTCAACTTTTAAATACCAAAGCCAAACAACAACCTGTAACAAATAAAATGATAAAATTTAAAGATTTTGAAATAAAAGTGGTAGCTGATAAGCCAACAATACCATTGGTTGAAAGAGATAGGATTCATAAACTAATAACAGATTATTCGCGAAATTTGGGGACTTTGGGTGAAGAATTAAAAACATCATTTAATTCATTACCAAGCACAAAATCTTTAGGGAAAACACTTCAAAGTATTGACCAAGATTTATCACAATGGCAACAATTATTTCAACAATATGATAAATAAATTAAATTCATTAAATAAAACAATTCTAATCAAAACTCTTAAAATCACTGAAAATTGGAGAACCAAAAAAGGTTTAAATAATTAAAAATCATTAACTTTTAAATCGATGTGTTATACAAATATTCTAATGTTAATAATGATTGAATTATTTTCCATCATGACAAACATTGAAATAACAATGCTCATCACTATTATCAAATCATTATGTTGTTCCAAAAAATTTGGAATTTAAATCAATTACATATAGAATTTAATTAGAAAAAAACTTGGAATTTTAACACAGGAAATCAAAGAATTCAATGGACGCATATCATCATTATCATGATGATCATTATCCTTTGATTGGAATTTTGGTTTTCTTTTCAGTATTTTGTGGACTTGACAGCAAAGTGCTAAAAATTCCATAAAATTAAATTGAATATTTTCTCATTTTCGAATTAATATGTTTGTTGTTGTTTGAAATTAGCTTTATATTCTCAATTGTTGTAATTCCGAATTCGAATTCGAATGCCAATCTGGTCAGAAGCAATTATTGTTTAGAATTTAATTGTAAAATTCAAAATAATTCGACTGTAAATTTGAATGACCAAATATTATCATATATCATGACTTGACAGAATGGAAAAAATTATTTTTTATTTTCAAATAATGATTATTTGTATATAATACATTTTGATCAACCAAAATACGATTCAGAATGTGTGAAAAAGAAAAATGAAAATTACTGCATTGGTCATTCATACATTTAATCCATATTATTGTTAATATGATTTGATGATATAAAAACTACCAAAATAATGTCGAGAGAGTATATGTCGCTATTGTTTTATGGATGAAAATCATGTTTTGTGTTTCCAAAACATAAATTTTAAATTATTATGATCAATCGGTCAAATGTTCGGGCTTAATGTTTGTGTGTGAAAAAATTGAAAACTTTATGATTTTTTTCTCTCCATTAGAAAATAGCAAAAAAAATCCATTTTCAATTTGTTTCCGAATGTTCCATACTTATATTGCCATCATAAGTAAGCTTTTTAGTTAAATTGAATTCTATTCCTTAGGAACAAGAAAAAAATTAATCGAAAAGTTGAGAATGAATTGTTTTTCTTTGTTTTTTTTTTGCTCAATATCATTGGTCAAAATCTATGTTTGTTGTGTAAATGTGAAAAAGTGTTTCAAAAATAATTTCACTTGAAATCTTCAAGACGAAAATGAAAAATATAGTAAAAAAAATTGATTGCTAAATGTTTTCTGCAAGTTAAAAGTATCACTATTCTTTCAAAATAGGAACAAAAATAAAACAAGTAGAAAAAATTGATTAAATGATAATACAAATGTTACATATATTGTCATTGTCCACTATTTACCGTTGAATCAGATCTCATGGAAACTGAATCCTAACTTTGTCGACATTTCATACTGTGTTTATTGCATGTAATATAAAGAACTAGCAAAGACAATAAAGATGGCAAAATTAGTTTTAAAACAAAAACAAAACAAAAAAATTGTTTTCGGCATCGAAAAACAAAACAAAAAATTCAAATTCAAATAATCATTTGGAATTGGTTGGCCCCTAACACAGCAACACACACACACGGAAAAAACAAAATGATAATAAGAATAACGAAGAGAAAAAAATAACAACAATAAATTCTTGAAATAATGATAAGAATTTTTTTTTTGAAAGTCTAAAAAGACAATTGAATTGTGCATCTATTTTAGTTCAATCATTGGTTATTGCTATAGTCCCAAATCAAGATTGTAACCATATTTTTTGCTGTTGTTGTTGTTGTAGGTACACATTTTATTCTGTTTGTCCATTTTATATTTGTATTTTATTATTATTACGGATTCCAAGAATTTTGTTTTTTTTGAACTGATTGGATTCCGAAGATTCTTTTCTTTTCATACATATAGATAAAAAGATTGCTGTTGACATTATTGGAATAAGGAATTATAATTTTTTTTCTCTCATACCGGATATTTGTTTGAAAGATGACAAGACAGTTGAATGGTTATTGCTTGGACACACACGCACACACTTGAATCAATCGATGAAATGATGAAAATATTTATTATCGTAATTTTTTTTTCTCTTTTCTCATCCATGATGAACGTAAAATTGAATCAGATTCAATTTTCACAATGATGATTTTCTCATTCAATTGGTCTTGTCATCATCGTTGTTTTTTTTTTGTTGTCTGAATGTAGAGAAATCCTCCAACGTATAATTGAATCATCTGAAGAAAATCGGTTTGAATTTGATTGGAAAATGTTTGTTCCAACCGACCGGATGATCAATTTGGTTTATCACCAAAATATATGATAAAAAAACTTATTGTCTCAAATGTCTTCATCATCAATATTGAAAATCAGAAACCCAAATTGAAATTGACAACGGCCACTTTAAAATTTTCATTTTTTTTTTGTTTCATTTCAAAAACTTTTGACCAAATTTTTCATACAAAATCATTGGTCTGTATTAAATTTGATTCCATCATTATTGTCATTATCAAATTCTTTAGGAAAAAGATTGAAATTTCAACAATGAATCAATTTTCGATCAGTCAACTGAATTCAGGTCACATTCATTTTAAATTTCAATCAAAATGTCATACAATACAAGACATATGTACGCGTAAACAAGAAAAAAATGATGTTGTTGTTCAATCAGTAAAAAAAAATCTTGCTTGTCATTATCATTATCATTATCATCATCACCAATAACGTCAAAGAATATCATCATCATTTCTGGTGTATATTTTAATAATAAAAACAGTAAAAATAATAATACTCGAATCAAGAATTTATCCATTTGGTTTTCAAGATTTTTTTCTGTTGGATCAATAAGAAATCTATGTTTATTACAATATATCTATTTATATTATTGAAATTAAGTATATAAGGAATTTGAGAATTCAATTTTCCAATATCAATATCTGTTGTATTTGTTGATGTTATTTGTTTGTTTGTTTGTTTGAATGTCATTATTTAATATCAAACCAAACCAGAAAGAAAAATCCGACACAATTTGGAAACGAAAGAAAGAAAAACATTGAAACAACATTTAAACATATAATATATTTATCAAATAATGGCAATCAACAACAATAACATCATTCTCGTTGACATCGAACAACAACAACATCGAACATAATCAACAAGAATAACAAGCCACAGAATTTTTTTTTCTTTCTTTCTCTCTGATTCTCGTTCTTTCTTTCTCTTGCTTTAGGTTTTTAGGTCATATTATATTGGTGAAAATTGATTTGTATATCCGAATCTAAATTTCGATGTAATGTGGTTGTTGACTTGTCAAAATTGTCAACATAAAATTTTTCTTAATTTTTTTTTGGATAAATTTTATTTTCACTCTATAATTCTCATTTCATTCATCATTATTGTTTTCACAGAATTTTTTCCTTCAGAAAACATATTGAATGGGTGTGTTTCTTTTTTTAAAAAAATCTAAAAATTTTAGTGAAAAAAAAATTACTAAAAGGTTTGGTGAATAACAAACAAATGGAAACTTCTTTTTTGTTGAAATAAAAAAACATCCAAAGATATATTATTATAACTGAAATTGAAACTTGAATTGCCACTTGTCAAACAATTTAACATTTTTCGTTGGTTTGTTTCTGCATCTTATATAAAAGTTCAGTACAATACATGAAATTACTAATCATTATCGTGATCCGCTCCTTTACTTGATTATAATTATCATTATTCATGACAAATTTTAAATTTTTCAAAATAAGAATAAAAATCAAATCCACCTAAATATTAAATAACAAATTTTTTTTTCATTTCTTTTCAAACTTATACACAGTTATTTTTCCGGTTTCTTTACTTGTTTCAATTAGATACACACATAATATGATTTGCTAATGTAATACATATTTACATATAATCATTTGTGAAGAAAGTAAAATATGAAGAAAAAAAAAGTTAATCCATTTTTCTCAACCACACACAAATTGGCAATCTATCCATTTGTTCGATCTATCCCCTAAAATATGATCGATTATTTTTTCACATTTACTGATTTAAATATTTCTATTGCCATATTGTTTCAATATGAATTTAATTTATGTTTTCCCAGCAACAACAACAACAAAAAAAAAATTCATAATTTCTTTCCAGTAAAAAAAATGAAATGTTCATTTTTCATTTTTGATAATTCATAACGAGGACGAATAGAGGTCGAATTTTTTTAAAAATGAACTTGAAATCTCATTAAGATTATTGTGACAACAAATTACATAACATGATTGGATCATTTTTTTAAAAAAACTTTTTTTATTTGAAATAATGATAATAATTAATGAAATAAAGGAATTGATGCCAAAATATGTCATTTTTTTTCTCCAATTCGATTCGATTTAGAATTAGAAATTTTTTCTTCTTCTTCTTCATAAAATTCATTCTGATAACAACATGAACAATTAGAATATTTCAGTTTTATTTTGTTTCTTCAATTTTTGTTTTGAGTAAAATTGAGAATAGTTTTCATTTTCATTTTCATTCGTAATTAATGTCAAACTTTGTTGGAAAAGTTTTTGCACAACACACACACACACATATTTCTTCATCTACATATAAAACAATAATGATGATTATTATGATTGCTTGAAGCCATTAATGAGGAATATATTTTGTGGAATAGAAAACAAAAATGAAAATATTCAAATGAAATCAAACTAAAATCATTATTATTATTGAAAAGAATGATTCAAATATGAATGACATTAGCTATAGTAAAAATGAGGGAATGAAAACTTTTTCTTTCGCTCAATACATAAAAAAAATTCATAATGTTAAAATTGTCATTTGAAAATGTAATCAGAATTTAATGATCTATCCTATGTATGTATGTATAATAATGAAAAAAGATGATTTAAATGAATCCAAAAGATCATATTATCATAGCTTTAGCCATTATCATTATGACATGAGATTCATTCATTTTGATCATGTTTTCAATGTTTGGAATTCGACAAACAAAACAAAAAAAATCATACTAGATTAAT